TCCGTACAGCTTTGGAGGCGGAGAGTGAAAATGGCGGCCTCCCAATCTCTGCCCCAGAGGAGCCAAGAACTCGGGGCCCTGCTCCTCAGTGAGCCCCTGGAGAAAAGCAGTCAGTCACTTCCGACTCCCCGGTCTGCAGCCCCACTCCGTGCTCACCTGTTCTGTGACCGCGCGTTTGTATCTCTGGCACCCGACCCCGGGTGGAGTCTCCAAACCCAGCAGATCCCTGCGGTGCGCTCCCGCACCGCTCCTCCCGGAGGAGGAAGGTGAGTCTCCCCGATGTGCCGCTTGTTGGGTCCCTGCTGGAGGAGCAGTTGCCCAACTGTGCCGTGGATCACGGTTTATGGCAACCCTGAGCTGAGAGCCCGCACCTCGGCTCCGTCTCTGCAGCTGGTTTCCCTGCTCTGTTACCTGGGAGCTCTGCCACACTCAGGCACCCCTGGTCTCTCTGTGACCCCGAGGGTACTGAGACCACACTGTCCCGCGAGGGCCCCACCCCCAGCTTAGCCACCGGAGTGATGTCCCTCAGCGGAGCAGACTTTTAAAAGTTCCGCTTTTGTGCTCTGTGGCTGTATCACTTGCCAGAAGCGGCTGACGGAGGCCCCTCCCCCGCCATCTATCCTCCTGAATATCACCTCAGATTCACTTCTCCGCACGTGCTACCTTCCAGAAAGTGGTCGCTTTTCTGTTCAGAGAGTTCCTGCTATTCTTTTCTTCGATCTCCTGTTGAGTTCATAGGTGGTCAGACTGGTTTGATCCCTATCCAGCTGAATTCCTGAGAGGAGACGAAATCCAGGTCTCCTACTCCTTCGCCATCTTGCTCTGCCCCCCGCCGTGTGGCATTCAAAGCTCTTGTTTCCTTGTTGATTTTCTGCTTAGATGATCTGTCTATTGCTGAGGATGGAGTATTGAGGTCTCCTACAATTAACGTATTGTTATCAATATGACTCTTTATTTCGGTTAACAGTTGGCTTATGTAGTTGGCTGCTCCCATGTTGGGGGCGTAGATATTTACAATTGTTAGATCTTCTTGTTGGATAGACCCTTTAAGAATGATATAGTGTCCTCTGTGTCTCTAACTACAGTCTTTAGTTTAAAATCTAATTTGTCTGATATGAGAATTGCTATGAGATTTGCTACCCCAGCTTTGTTTTGAGGTCTGCTGGCATGGAAGATGGATCTCCATCCCTTCACTTTTAGTCTGTATATATCTTTAGGTTCAAAATGAGTCCCTTGTAGACAGCATATGGGTGGGTCCTGTCCTTTTATCCAATCTGCAACCCTGTGCCGTTTTATGGGAGCATTTAGGCCATTCACGTTGAGAGTGATTATTGAATGATATGAATTTATTGTCATCATGTTGCCTGTGAAGACCTTGTTTTTATAGATTGTCTCTGTAAATTTCTGTTCTATATCACTCTTGGGGTCTTTCTCCTTTTATAGAACCCCCTTTAATATTTCTTGCAGGGTCGGCTTAGTGGTCACATATTCTTTCACTTTCTGCCGGTCATGGAAGCTCTGCATCTCTCCATCCATTCTAAATGACAGCCCTACCAGATAAAGTATTCTTGGGTGCATGTTCTTCTCGTTTAGTACCCTGAATATGTCTTGCCAGGCCTTTCTGGCTTGCCAGGTCTCTGTGGATAGGTCTGACGTCATTCTGATGTTCCTCCCTCTGTATATAAGGAATCTCTTCCCCCTAACTGCCCTTAAGATGGTTTTCTTGGTTCTAAGATTTGCAAGTTTTACTATTACATGCCGGGGTGTTGGCCTGTTTTCCTTGATCTTAGGAGGGGTCCTCTCTGCCTCTCAGACATGAATTGTTTCTTTCCCCAGATTAGGAAAGTTCTCACCTACAATTTGCTCAAATATATCTTCTAATCCTCTCTCTTTCTCTCCACCTCCTCAGGAATTCCAATAATTCTGACATTGGAATGCTTCATGATGTCACTTATTTCTCTGATTCTATTTTCATGGATTCTGAGTTGTTTTTCCCTGGCCTCCTCTTTTCCCTTTTTATCTATTAAATTGTCTTCCAGGTCACTAATTTATTCTTCTGCCTCACTTACCCTAGCTGTTAAATTATCTAGATTAGATTGTATCTCATTGATAGCATTTCTAAATTCTGCCAATTCAGCTTTCATTTCTGCCCTTAGAGGCTCTATGTTGCCATTAATCGATTTCTCTATTCTAGCTATTGTCTTCACAACTGCTACCCTGAATTCCATCTCTGAGAATCTTGGTTATATCTCTATCCATTTGTAAATCTGTGGCAGAAGTCACAGTCTCTGAGTCTTTCCTATTTTGGGGGTTCCTCCTCCTAGTCATTCTGTTGAAGGGTGGTTGAGGGAATATATAGAGTCCAAACTATTGACCACAACCCAAGCAAGATGCACCTATTTTATAGGGACCTTAGGGTTGCTGGCCTCTTGTTCTCCCAGCCTGTCTTCTGGGGGAGGGGCCTGCTGCACTGTTACTCAGGCAACCCTATTTGGGCAGAGTTGCCCTGCCCCCCTGTGGCAGGGAATGGGCTCAGTGGGAACCAGTTTTGGGGGCTTTTGTTCTCTGGCTGCTTTCTCTGCTGGCTTTTTGCATCTCTTCCGAGAGTCAGAGCAGAAGAGACCGTTTCTAACCCTCTGCCTCAGAGCAGAGAGATCGCAGTCTATTCTTCAGTGAGCCCTCCAGGCCACACTATCTCCATTTCTGTCCATGCTTCTGTAAACTGCAGCGTCCTGGGTTGTGCACCCCTCAGCAGCACTCCCAGTCCTGCTTCCAGGTCGGGGCACGTCTCTGCCCTTTGTGCTTCTAAAACCACTAGCCGCTTCCAGTTTGCATGTGGGACCCCACCAATCCGGGTTTCTGCCCTGGGGGCTGTCCTAAAGTCCTTTCCCCACCGCTACCAGTCTGCAAGTCTGTGCCCATCCCCAGCACGCCAGGCTATTGCTCACTGGCGGTGTAGGATCCCCACAGTCAGGTCCTCTCCCACTGCTGTTTATCCTCCAATATCTGCCCAGGGAATCACGGCTCCCCACTTCGTACCTGGAAACCAACTGCCTGCAATACTCTGTTTGTAGAGATCCAGATCTTCTTACATCTCAGGCTGGTTTCGTGGGTGCTCAGAGTGGTCTGATAGATATCCAGCTCAATTCCAGTGACCAGTTGGAATAGGGTCCCCTACTCCTCCGCCATCTTTTCCTCTTCCTACTTTGCTGACTACTTAACAGTGACTTTGTTTTGACACAGCAACATTAAATTGAAACTTGAAAGAATGTTGCCTGGGGAATAGAGGAGGTCACCTAGGGAGCTACCAGGAGGGGTTGGCCATCCCTTGAACTTCTCATCATGCACTCTTTCTTTAGCTACAGCAACATTATCACTGATTAAAGTACAAGAAAGTCCATGGTCCATGGTCATGGGATGTATGGTTTCTTCCATTTGTGCATTGATTTAATAAAATCACTCTCTAAGGATAGCCCTTTTCTTCCAGATTTTGGTGCATATGTGGGGGGAGGGTGGTGTACCCCCACCCTCCATAGATTACTTATACTTTATAATGTTTAAAAAAGTAATATCACATAGTAATGGTTTACTGTTCCTTATTCAAGTGTATTTTAATTAGCTAGGACAATAAAGCTTTTCAAAGTTATATAGTTCTTTTGGTTGGGGCAATTCTATTAATCATAAGTTCATCTTAATCTTTTTTGTTTTAATATAGAAAATAACATTTCAGAGATGTAAATTATGAATATCTCCTAAATACCTCACCTCTCTGGAATATGGTAAAGGGCTAATAGCAAACAGGACAAAAAATGAGAGAATGTTTTGAATAGAAAAAATGAACACACTACATTTTTCAATTACAGTAAAGGAAAACTTATCAAGTTTAAATATTGATTGTTGGATTTTTTTTTTTTAAGATTTTTATTTATTATTGAGAGAGAGAGAATGATAGAGAGAGAGCATGAGAGGGAGGAGGGTCAGAGGGAGAAGCAGGCTCCCTGCTGAGCAGGGAGCCCAATGAGGGACTCGATCCCGGGACTCCAGGATCATGACCTGAGCCGAAGGCAGTCGCTTAACCAACTGAGCCACCCAGGCGCCCCGATTGTTGGATTTTACTTTCTGTTGTCAGACACTAAGTAATGTAACAAAGACATGATTTGAATATTTAGAAATTATTCAAATTGGACTGTCAGGAGAGAGTTCAGAAGGATGTAAGTAGTGCTCTACCATATCAAAAGACCAATGGAACCAGTACAGTGTTTACTTTCATAACAGAAGCAGAAGATACCTGGTGCTGGATACTCCCGTCAAACTATAATTACTGAGTTGCTTTGAACCCGGATTATACTTATATTACATTGTTTAGTACCTCATTAGACTTGGCATATTTGCTTCAAACTTCTCTTTGTTATATTTTACTATACTTGAGTGACATGCAACCTGGATTTATCATTAAAGTAAATTTTTTTTTTTAAGACAAAGCATGGCTAAATCTTAAAATCTAACCTTCCCCATAGCTTGGATAGTTTTTTGTTTTTGTTTTTGTTTTTTTTTGCTATAAAGTGTAAAATATACTAGATTATGAGTTACAGCCTTAACAAAGGAAAGCTTTTTAAGAAATAATGTAAACCAGTTTTGAAGACAGATAGTTTAAAAGTGCTTATAAATGTATGTCTTTGTGAATGATTCAGAAAGCACGATATCTTCCCTTGGAATTTAGTTAGTTCTTTCATATGTTGGGACAAGCCACTTAAATAATAGAAATACTGCAGAGTCTGTGGTTTGAACCTTGAAAACTTACAGACCAGAAGGCATGACAAGGTCCTTCTTTATGTAGTTTTGAGCTTCTTCAGACCTAGTGCCCTATGGGTCGTGCTGAGGTCTTTACCTGAAATGCGTTCAAATCTGGGTGGTTTGTTAAACACAGGAAAGAAATGTCCTTGACTTGTCTTACATGTGCTCTCCGGCATGTCTGGATCTGACTCACTCTCCCTGTGAAGATCATCAAGGCAGGCTTTGTGATAGAAATCGAAGATAAGAGAGTGCTCACTGAGCAACAAGTAAGGGACTTCTACCGTCGGATAGCAGACCAGGTATGGAAGTTAGACACAAGCCAAAAAAAGCTGCTGTGTTTTCAAATGTGGTGGATTCCTGTAAGTTTGGAACCCTCCTCTTAGAAAAGCAAGTGAATAAGTCTGACCAGCCAGATAAGCTCCATTGTCCCTCTTGGTGTCCAGATGATGGTAAAGCCAAAGAAGGTGATGACGGGGAAGTCTCCAGTGGAAACAGTAGCAGCTGAGCAAGAATGGATGGTCCGATTGTACTTTGTCAGAGAGAAGCCCTGTTCAACTTATGTGCTCTCAGATTCCCTGCATCAACCTCTGGAAGCGAATACCCAGGCCTTTCCTATAGATTTTTATTCCAGGCTGCCAGGCTGAAGGCTCCCTGTCATAAACCTCACAGGGAAGCTTTAATCCTTTCATTACCTAAAGGCCCATGTCCCAAGCTATTTTCTCTTCTGCATGGGAGAGTATAAGAAAGGCAGTGCTGTGTATTGGAAAGGGCAGTGGCTTGGGGGTCAGAAGACATAGCTTCTGGAAATCTCCTGTCCAGTCTGGTAGCCATCAGCTACCTGTGGCCATTTGAATTTAAATTCATTAAAATCAAATCAAGTAAAAAAAACTTCAGAGTTTCAGGTTGCACTGGCCACATTTCAAGGGCTCAGTAGCTGCACGTGGCTACACATGTTGGAGAGCCTAGAAGAACATGTGTGTCATCAAAGAAAGTTCTAGTGAACGGCACTATGTCAGCTGGCTGCAACACTCAAACTGCTTCTCTTGGCCCCAGGAAAAGGTTGGACCCACTGCCTCAGCATCACGTGGGAACTTTTGAGATAGTCCACTTCCAAAGCCCCACCCTCAACCTCCTGAGTCATGAACTCTGGGATTGGGCTTTCCAAATCTGTGTTTTAACAAGCCCAGCAGATGATTTGGAAGCATCCTAAAGTTTGAGAATGGTTATTAGACCATCTTTAGGATCAATCCCTGTGAGCTGTGAACTTCCATCCTTCAAAGGTGTGATTGTTCACAGGGCCAACAATCACACCTTTGAAGGATTAGAGCTAATACTCACTTGCCTGGTGGTCAGGAAGGGGATGATGTCGCTTGGGTTGGGGAGTGGCTGTCTTTTTAGTCTATTTCAGAAGCCTGGAGTAAGCAGTTTATCATCTTATTTATAGCCTGACTTTGAAGATTTTGTCCTTTTTATGACCAGTGGCCTAAGCCATATTCTAGTTATATCTCAAGGAAATGAAGAGCAGCCTGCTCTGGGAGAAACTGAAACTGATCCTGAGACAGAAGCTAAAGAAATATATGAGGATCACCTTGCTATGGTCACGACTCCAATGATGAGGAAGAAGCAGGACAGGTAGCTTGAGACCAGGATATTTACCATTGTATATTGTGTTAGTAGGTAATGAAGTGTAATATCCAAATATCTCAAGATCTAAGAATGTACATTTTTTTTAATTTTTATTTTTTTAAAGACTTTATTTATTCATTTGAGACACAGAGATACAGAGAGAGAGAGCACGAGCAGGGGGAGAGGCAGAGGGAGAGGGAGAAGCAGGCTCCCCCCTGAGCCAGGAGCCCAATGCGGGGCTTGATCCCAGGACCCTGGGATCATGACCCGAGCCGAAGGCAGACGCCCAACGACTGAGCCACCCAGGAACCCCATCCAAGAATGTACATTTTTTAAAGATTTTATTTATTTATTTAAGAGAGAGAGAGATCACAGAGGGAGAAGCAGGCTCCCAAGGAGCAGAGAGCCCGATGCGGGACTCGATCCCAGGACTCTGGGATCATGACCTGAGCCGAAGGCAGACGCTTAACCATCTGAGCCACCCAGGCACCCATCCCCTTTTTTACTTAAGGCAGTTAGTGGTTATAAATTGCTAAGAACTAAATGGTTGTATATTTTCACTAATAGGTTTTTAAATATTTGAAAATGAATATAAGTACCAGACAGAGTGTTGGTTTTATGCACTGCCATTTGTGCCTTTTATTCCTCTGAAGACTCAGAAGGTTCAGTTTACCACAAGAGTCATCAGAGCAATGCCTGGGACAAAGGTGGGTAAGCAGGAACCTGCTGAGAGGAGCTGAGTCTCGAGATTCCATGATGTGTCTCTTCCCGATGGATAGCACATCTTAATTGCATTTTCTGGCAGGGCATCTCCAGAACTCCTTGTTGTCTTATTAATGTGTGTAGTGGCTTTTCTTGAGTAGCTATATCTGCTGGTTCCTACAGTGTGATGCGTTTTAGGTAGCAGGGTGACCCTACAGTCATTAGTTCCAAGCTTTAAATGGGATTGAGGGGCTTAAAGTTGAGCCAGCTGCCGACAAAGGGCTTTGTGAACAGTAGTACTTATTTTTACAGTTTTAAGGGGGAATGATAGTCAGTGGTCAGAGGGAAGGTTTGGGTGGGGAGGGTTGCACTTAAAAAGATACCAGACTTCATACCAGAACTTTTGAGCCATTAAAAAAATGTTCTGTGAAGCACTCATTGATGCAGCTTGCATAACAGAAGTCAGCATTCTGCTTGTGCCATCATTCTGGTGAGTCTGTGTCACATCCAACTTTGAAAAGCAGTTGTCTCTGGTTGTTGAAATACCGACGTAATAAGGTGAACAGTTTAGGCCATTGGTGGGGTGGGTGTGGAGTGAGATGTGTTAATCTTGCTTTGGAAAAGTCTGCAGTATTTTCTTTCCGAACTTAGAGACTTTATTTGCCTTTTGGCCCATGTTTATCCTGAGCAGTGACCATAGGCAGGCAGCATGGAGTGGTGGGGAGCATGTTTGTCTGGGAATCCGTTTTCACTGCTCGTGTTCTGGAAGCAAAGCATAACAGGTGCCAAGCACTCCTACTGTTATTTTTTAAGTGAACCCAGAACCCAAAGGATCAAGGACATAAACTCTCATGAATGATTTACATGTCTGTTCACTTTCTTTCTTTATGGCTACCTCTCCCCTACCTCAAAGCCTGCTCACCTTCCTCTCTGGGTGGTGGTGGGGCTGGTGGGTGAGGAAGAAAGGAAATTAAAAGCAGGGTAATTAGACTGGGAGCGGTAGGTGGCTCCTTCTGGGAACATGAGCAGAGCTCCCCTTCTTGGTCAGGGTGGTTGTCCCCACAGAGAAAAACTCACATGTGAACCCACATGGTCTGGGAAAACTTTCTGCATGTCAGCAGTAACCCACTGGACCCAGTGGCTGGCTGGGAGGAGGACCCAGAAAAACAGGACACGGGCAGCCACAGTTTTCATCCAGATCCCAGATTTGTTCATGATGACTTTTGATCACAGTCTATTATCCATTTGCATGTCTGTCTCCTTAATCCGCCTGTGTATTAAGAACTCAAAAGGTCTGGGGCGCCTGGGTGGCTCAGTTGGTTGAGTGACTGCCTTCGGCTCAGGTCATGATCCTGGAGTCCCGGGATCGAGTCCCACATTGGGCTCCCTGCTCAGCAGGGAGTCTGCTTCTCCCTCTGCCCTCTTCCCTCTTGTGCTCTCTGTCTCTCATTCTCTCTCTCTCAAATAAATAAATAAAATCTTAAAAAAAAAAAAAAAACTCAAAAGGTCAGAGTCATTTATCTTTCCTTTCCTACTGGAAGAGGAAGGTGTGGTTCTATTAGCTACATTGTCCAGAATCAGATAAATAGTTATTGGCAGTCTTCACTCACTCACCCATTCATTCTATTATGCATCCTTCCATTTATCTAGTATTTATTAAAGTCCTACTATGTGCCAGGCCCTGGGGATACAAAGATGGGAGGAAATGAAATGATCTCTAAAGTCCCTTTCAGCTCCAAATCTTTATGACTGAGTGAAGATGTTAATTCCTACCTCCTATAATATATTTCTCTCTCCATACAAAGTGTCTATTCGAGTCTTGGTAACCCATTTATTTCTATACATGTCATAGCTATAGAGAGCAAGTTTTTCTTTTATAAAACTCTTATTTAAATTGAAGATAATAGATACAATTACTAAAATAATCTTTAAAAGTATTTCTGGGATCAGAGCAGTCTGAATTCTATATCTTTACTCTCTACTCCCATCTCCAGACCTTTCTTGCCTCTCTAGCATCAAAGGGAACCTGTGTTCATAAGCATCTGGCCATCGGTGAGACCTGGAGTTCTGTTGGTCCAGAAATAAGAAGGGGAGGGCGGTTGTGTGGTGCTTTCTCCACTGACAGCTTTGGGGAGTGCCTGAGCTCAATTACCGGGGACCAGAACCCTGGGACAACCACCAGTCTTGGGAAGAACAAACAGTCTTGTGACTCCTCAGGGCCAGGTTGATACTGGACTTCGCTGGGCCTTCCTGACCTCCCTCTCCCCTGAAAGCCCAAGATGGAGCTGAGCAGAATTACCAAAATTGCCTGCCTTTGAGGACCAGCTCTATAAGGGCTCTTAACCATTTGTTCCCACAGGGGAACGGCAGCTTGCTTGCTTGTAGCCTAGAGGCCATTTTTGTCTTTCAGCTGTAGGGTTTCCAACACCTAACATACCAAAAACGAGATGTAAGCCCCAATAAACCAACCAAGAAAAATGACTATCCACCTCAAGGAGCCTAGCAGCCAGAGAAAGGAAGATCTACACAAAAATCAAAACATAAACCCAGTGAAAATGAACTGCTAGGGCTGGAAAAATCTTTAAGTAAAATAATAGTAATACTATTACTACTACAAATAATATATAATGCTCGAGACAAATAATATATAACTAATAATAATATATAACTACTACTACTACTAATGCTTGAGATTCAAGTGCTACACACACATAAAAAGAGACTTTCAAATTTGAACTATAAAATAGTGATTTGAACTCTAAATTCAGTGGAGAATTAATGTGATAGTTGTTTGAGATTTGAATTAATGACTTGGAAAATCAGATGAAAGAAATAGCTTAAAGTACAGAAATAAAATGAGACCGATGTCATGAGAGCAAGAGAATAAGCAATGTGGAGAATATACTGGGAAAACCAGTGTGCTAGTAAGAAAAATTCCATACAGAGAAGAAAGAACAGATGAACAATCTATATTTTGACAAACAGGGAAATAAATTCCCTGAAATGAAGAAATAAATGCATCTGCCAATTGAAAGGGCTTCCAGTGGCCCAGCCTCGACTGATGTGCAAAAACACAGACACGGGAATATCCTGGGAAAAAAACACTGTATGCCATTTCCAGAGAGAAAGAACAGGCAGTGATGTGCTCAGGATGTTTGACGCCCCAAGCAGATAATTTTCTTAATACCCCTGTCCTCTATATAATAATATTATTTTTAGTACTAATTATTGAACAAGGCAAATAATGGCCAGGAAAAAACATAAATAGTGAAAATTGTCCTTTGTGAGACATATAAGCAAAAAAAAAAGAATATTCTAATACCAAAAATGAAACAAGTCATAGATTAATACTGTTTAATTATATGAATGTGTTTTCTTAGAAAGGAGAAAAAGCATTCATAGTTATATATATATTAGTCTATCATTGAAATAAGGTGCAAATTTTGTTTGTAAGCCTTAAATTTTGAAGATTTGTCAATGGCATTCTCAAAATTGATCTTTATTATATATTCATGTGGGTTTTTTTTTTTATTCTTATGTTAATCCCCATACATTACATCATTAGTTTTAGATGAAGTGTTCCATGAATCATTGTTTGTGCATAACACCCAGTGCTCCATGCAGAATGTGCCCTCCTCAATACCCACCACCAGGCTAACCCATCCTCCCACCCCCCTCCCCTCTAGAACCCTCAGTTTGTTTTTCAGAGTCCATCGTCTCTCATGGTTCGTCTACCCCTCCGATTTCCCCCACTTCATTCTTCCCCTCCCGCTACCTTCTTCTTCTTCTTCTTTTTTTTTTCTTAACATATATTGCATTATTTGTTTCAGAGGTACAGATCTGAGATTCAACAATCTTGCACAATTCACAGCGCTTACCAGAGCACATACCCTCCCCAGTGTCTATCACCCAGTCACCCCATCCCTCCCACCCCACCCCCCACTCCAGCAACCCTCAGTTTGTTTCCTGCAATTAAGAATTCCTCCTATCAGTGAGGTCATATGATACATTTCTTTCTCTGACTGACTTATTTCACTTAGCATAATACCCTCTAGTTCTATCCATGTCTTTGCAAATGGCAAGATTTCTTTTCTTTTTTTTTTTTTTTTTTTTGGATGGCTGAGTAGTATTTCGTCATATATGTATACCACATCTTCTTTATCCGTTCATCTGTTGATGGACATCTGGGCTCTTTCCATAGTTTGGCTATTGTGGACATTGCTGCTATAAACATTGGGGTGCAGGTGCCCCTTCAGATCACTACATTTGTATCTTTGGGGTAAATACCCAGTAGTGCAATTGCTGAGTCATAGGGTAGGGGAGAGAGAGAATCTTAAGCAGGCTCCATACCCAGCCCAGAGCCTAATGCAAGGCTTGATATCACAGCCCTAAGACCATAATCTGAGCCAAAATCAAGGGTCAGGTGCTTAACCAACTGAGCCAACCCAGTGCCCCAAGAAAAACATTTTTAACCATATTTTATGTTGGTCTTCTTTATCCTCCCATGAAGTCAAGCATACATGATTTCATGTAATTAATTTTTGGATTGGTTCAACAAAAAGCTGAATTAAATACATACTCTTTGATTTGACAGAAAAATACAACTTATCTTTCGATGACATTCAATTTTTATTTGTTTTATTAAACCACAAAATATTTGTGACCTTACCAGTTTTTTCTGTCATGGTTATTAAGCTTCAGTTTATAATAATCTTAAATTATATTTTGGATTTCTACAGCTTAGAAGAATATCTGGAAAGACAACATATATCTCAGTTTTGTGATGTTGAAGAGAATATAACTGATGTTAACCACTTTATTGATATGTTCTTCCCTGATTTTAAAAATATGGAAAACCTCAAATTAGAAAAGATCCTGGCATTACTTCGACCAGCTCTCTTCCAAGAAAAGAAAGGTAAGAAATAAATATAAATACACCCTAGTATAATTACATTAAAAGATATTATTTTAAAATTTAACATTGAAGAAAAAGCACCTATTTCTTCATGTATGAAATTCAGAAGATTAAAATGAGGGGTGCCTGGGCTGGCTCAGTTGGTGGAGCATGTGACTCTTGGTCTCAGGGTTGTGAGTTTGAGCCCCATTTTGGGAGTAGAGCTTACTTAAGAAAAAATGAGAAAACAAAGTGCCTGGCACCTAAAGGGTGCTAGTTATTTTTAACTTTTTCCCATATTCACACAGCAGAGAGACTGTGACAGAGTAGGAATACAGACCATAAGTTCACACTATTGATTCCTTTTTATAGCTGGTATATGGAAATACAATTGGTATGTGTAGTTCTAGAAGCTTTGGTGTAGCTTCCTTGGGAATTTCTATGCAGACCAGGGTTTCTCAACTTCAGACCTACTTACATTTGGGGCTAGATAATTCTTTGTTGAAAGAGGTTATATCTGGGGCACCTGGGTGGCTCAGTCAGTTAAGTAACTCTTGATTTCGGCTCAGGTCATGACCTCAGGGTTTTGAGATTGAGCCCTGCCTTGGGATCTGTGCTGGGTGGGGAGCGTGCTTAAGGTTCTCTCCCTCTCCTTCTGCCCCTCCCCCCTCTAAAAAAAGAGGCAGTATCATGTGCACTGTAAAATGTTTATAACATTCTTGGCCTCTACTCACTGGATGCCAGTAGCATCCTCCACACCCCCAGTGTGACAACTAAATATCTCCAGACATTGTCAGATGCACCCTTGCAGGATAAAATGTCAGGCTGAGAGCTGGTGAAATGAACAATAAATATCATCTGCAAATTGAGATAGTTTTACCTCTTTCTTTCGAATTGGTATGCTTTTTTTTTCTTCTGCTTGCCTCATTGAACTGGCTAGAACTTCTTGTATGATGCTGATGAGGAGAGGTGACATGCATGCTTTGTTCTTGACCTTATAGCAAAAGCATTCAGTCTTTTTTTTTTTTTTTTAAGATTTTATTTATTTATTTGAGACAGAGAGAATGAGAGACAGAGAGCATGAGAGGGAGGAGGGCCAGAGGGAGAAGCAGACTCCCTGCCGAGCAGGGGACCTGAAGCATTCAGTCTTTTACCATTAAGTACAATATTAGCTCTATAGACCTTTATTTAAATTTTAAAAAATCTGACCTATTTCTAGTTTGGGGAGGTTTTTTTTTTAAATCATAAATAGATATTGTATTTTTTTTCTCAAAAATTTTTTTCTGTATCTATTGATACGATTATGTTTTATTTTCTTGAGTTTGATAATATGGCATTTGCTTTGATTTTTGAATATTGGACCAATCTTGCATCCTCCAGATAAGCCACATTTGGTTGTATATTGCTCTTTTTACATATATCTGAGTTTGATTTTTTACTATTTTGTTGCCTTTTGTGTCTATATTCATGAGAAATATTTGTTGTTTTCTTGTAATGTCTTTATCTGGTTTTGGTGTCAGAGTAATGCAGGCCTTATAAAATGAGATGAGAAGTAGGTACTCTTATTTCTCTGAAGAAATGCATATAATTCATATTACATCTTTCTTAAATGTTTATTAGAATTTACCAGTGAAACTATCTGGGCCTAGAGTTTTCTTCTTTGGAATGTTTTAGTTTTGTATTGTTTGCCTTCTTAAATCTTTTAAAATATGGATATATTTTTTTAATGAATAGACCATATTTTAGAACAGTTTTAGATTTACAGAAAAATTAAGAAAGATAATAGTTTCCATATGCCTGTTCCCCCCCCCCAACAGTTTCTCCTATTAACATCTTATACTATGGTGATATATTTTTATAATTAATGAAACAATATTGAAATGTTAACTAAAGTTCATAGTTTACAATAATGTTTGCTCTTTGTTTTGTACATTTTATGGGTTTTAACAAATGCATAGTGTCGTGTATCCCCTTTACAAGATCATACAGAATAGAATTGCTGCCCTAAAAATCACCTGTGCTTCCCCTATTCATCCCTCTCTTCCTCCCTCCTAACTCCTGGCAATCACTGATCTTTTTGCTGTCTCTGTAGTTTGCTTTTTCTGGAGTGTCATACAGTTGGAATCATAGAGTATGTAGCTTTTCAGACTGATTTCTTTCGCTTGACAATATTCATTTAAGGTTTCTCCATGTCTTTTGTTGGTATTTTCTTGATAGGTCATTTTCTTTTATCACTGAATAATTTTCCCATTGTATGAATGTACTTAGGTTTATCCAGTTACTTACTGAAAGGCATCTTGGTCGCTTACAGTTTTTAGCTAGTATGAATAAAGATGCTATAGGCATTCATATGCAATTTGTGTGTGTGTGCATGTGTGTGTGCGTGTGTGTGTGTGTGTGTGGACATAAGTTTTCAACTCAATTGGCTAAATTCCTAGGAGCATGATTACCGGATTTTATGGTTCAACTATGTTTAGCTTTGTAAGAAACTGCCACAATGCCTTTCAAAGTGGTTGTATCATTTTCCATTCCAAACAGCAATGAATGAGAATTCCTGTTGCTTCACATCCTTGTCAACATTTGGTATTTTAGATTTTTTTCCTGTTCTAATGGGTATATAATGTTATCTCATTTTTGTTTTAATTTACAATTCCCTAATGACATGATTCTGAGCATCATTTCATATGCTAACTTGCCATCTGTGTATCTTCTTTGGTGAGGTGTCTTTTCAGATCTTATGCCCATTTCTTTTTTTTTTTTTTTTAAAGATTTTTTATTTGACAGAGAGCAAGAGATCACAAACAGGGGGAGCAGCAGGCAGAGGGAGAGAGAGAAGCAGGCTCCCCGCTGAGCAGGGAGCCTAACATGGGGCTCCATCCCAGGACCCCAGGATCAAGACCTGAGCTGAAGGCAGATGCTTAACCCACGGAGCCACCCAGGCACCTCTTATGCCCATTTCTTAATTGAGTTGTCTACTTATTGTTGAATTGTAAGAGTTCTTTGTAAATTTTGAATATAATCCTTTATATAAATGTGGTTTGCAAATATTTTTCCAGGTTTTGGGCTCTGTGTTTTTTTTTTTTTTTTTTAAAGATTTTATTTATTTGCGAGAGAGAATGAGAGACAGAGAGCATGAGAGGGAGGAGGGTCAGAGGGAGAAGCAGACTCCCCGCCGAGCAGGGAGCCCGATGTGGGACTCGATCCCGGGACTCCAGGATCATGACCCGAGCCGAAGGCAGTCGCTTAACCAACCGAGCCACCCAGGCGCCCCCTGTGGTTTTTTTTTTAGCAGTCTTTTTCACAGAAAAGTTTTTATTTTTAATATAGTCCAACTTACCAGTTTTTTGTTTTGGATTCTTCTTTTAGTGTTGTATCTAAAAAAATCATTTCCAAACCCAAGGTCACCTAGATTTTCTCCTCTGTTATCTTCTAGAAAGTTTATGATTTTGTGTTTTAAGTTTAGGTCTGTAATCCAGTTGAGCTAATTTCTGTGAAAGGTGTAAGGTATGTCTAGAGTAATTTTTTTTGCAGGGGGGATGCCTCATTGCTCCAGCGCCATTTGTTGAAAAGACAGTCATTGCTCTACTGCATTGCCTTTGCTTATCTGTCATAGATTGGTTGAGTATATTTGTGTGGGTTTTTTTCTGGGTTCTCTATTATGTTTCATGGATCTTTGTGTCTGTTTTTCACCTGTTCCATGCTGTCTTGATTACTGTAACTTTATATAGTAAGGTAGAATCAGTCCTCCAACATGGTTCTTCTCCTTCAATATTGAGTTGACTATTCTGGGTCTTTTTCCTTTCTGTATAGAATCAGTGGAACTGACATCTTAACACTATTGAGCCTTCCTATCCATGAATAATGCCTATGTCTACATTTATTTAGATCCCTGATCCCTTTCACCAGTTTTGTAGTTTTATCTATCTATCATCTATCTATCTATCTATCTATCATCTATCTATCATCTATCATCTATCTATCATCTATCTCTCTATCTATCTCTCTATCTATCATCTATCAGGTTTTTATTTAAATTCCAGTTAGTTAACATACAGTGTAATATCAGTTTCAGGTGTACAATATAGTGAATCAACACTTCCATACAATACCTGTTGCTCATCACAACAAGCACATTCATTAATCTCCATTACCCATTCGACCCATCCTCCCATCCCCCTCCCCTCTGGTAACCATCAGTCTGTTCTCTACAATTAAGAGTTTGTTTCTTGGTTTGCCTCTCTTTTTCTTCCCCTATGATTGTTTGTTTTGTTTCTTAAATTCCACATATGAGTGAAATCATATGGTATTTGTCTTTCTCTGACTGCCTATTCCTTATTTAGACCCTATACAGATTTTGTTGGATTTCTACCCATGTATTTCATTTTTTGTGTGCTCGTGTAAATGGTATTGTTTTAAATTTCAAATTCCAATGTTCATTGCTGGTATATAGGAAAGTGATTGACTTCTGTATATTAATTTTAACTTGCAACTTTGCTATAGTAGTCTCTTATTGTTTCCAGGAGTTTTGTTGTTATTGTTTCTTTGGGATTTTCCACATAGACATTGATGTCACTAGAAAACAAAGACAGTTTTATTTTCTCCTTCTAAATCTATATATTCTTTTATTTCTTTTTCTTGTGTTATTTCAAACTAGCTAGGTTTTCCAGGATGATGTCAAATAGGAATGGCAAGAGGGGATATCAATGCCTTCTTCCCAGTCTTAGAGACAAAGCATCCAGTTTCTCTCCTTAAGTATGATGTTAGCAATAGGATTTTTGTACATGTTCTTTAGTAAGTTGAGGAACCCTCTATTCCTAGTTTGCTGAGTTTTAATCATGAATTGTTGTTGGAGGGGTGCCTGGGTGGCTCAGTCAGTTAAGTGTCTGCCTTCTGTGATCGAGCCCCACGGTGGGCTCCCTGCTCAGCAGAAAGTCTGTTTCTCCTTCTGCCTCTTCCTCTCGCCCTGCTTGTGCTCTCTCTCTCTCTGTGTCAAATAAATAAGTAAATAAATAAATAAATAAATAAATAAATAAATAAATAAATAAAATCTTAAAAAAAAAGAATGGCTGTTGGATTTGTCTTATGCTTTTCCTGTATCTATTGAGAGGATCATATGATTTTTCTTCTTTAGCACATTAATATGCAAATTATGTTCATTGGTTTTCAAAAGCTGAACCAGCCTTGTATGCCTGGAACAAATCCTGCTTTGCTGTAGTATATCCTTTTTTGTACATTATTAGATTTGATTGATAATATTTTGTTGAGATTTTTTTCCGTAGTTCATGAGACTATCTTATGTGACAGCTGGTGCGTGTTTCCACTTCCCACCCTTTTCCAGCACTCCTAAGAATACTTGAAATATGCAACAGACACGTTCTGGCTAATTCATTTGCTAGCACTTTTACTACCAAGTCCCTAGAAAAGAACATCCCATTGATAAGAAGTAACAAGCATTAAATCCATCCATGATGAGAATTAAAACTGCCTGTCTTCAGTATGAGTTGGTAGATGGCTGTTGCCTCATTCATGTTGGGTAAAGATGTCAGATTCATTTGCATCTGGGGCCTGACTGGCCTCTATTGGATATTGCCTCAGGCAGTCTTCCTGGTTCTTTCATATGCCCAGAAGCCTCAAATATGCCCAGAAGCCTCAAATCACCTCCAAGCAACTCTGCCAGTAAGACAAATCCTCAGAACAAAGCTTTCTGGGCAACTTTGAAATCAGACCCTCACACTTTTTATTCATAATAGAAGAAAAAGAGGTGAAAACATGATTCTTTTTCATTGTTTTCATCTCCTCTGGGACTGGTATAGTCGTCTTCTCTCAGTTTGCATCTAGCTTGTCAGAATCATTTCCATTATTGCTTAAAGTTTCTCTTTTCCAGTGAGCACAGAATATCATCTTTTCAAAAATCCATTCTGACAATCTTTATCTTCTAATTGCTATGTTTACACCATTTACATTAAATATCATTTTGGTAAATTTTGGAATTGTCTATTCTGGTTTTTCTTTCCTGCTGTCTTTTAGAATTAACTCTTTTAGTGTACCATTTTAATTTATCTATTGGCTTCTTAATTTTATGTATTTTGTCCATTTCTTTTAGTGGCTGTGCTATGGGTCAAAATATATGTGTGTAACTTTAAAACTATTTAGAGTTAATATTTTACCATATCACCTTACAGCCCCATATATCCTTTTCCCCTTTCCCCTACCCAGTGTAGTCACCAGGTCTATTACATCTACATGTATTGAGTATTCCACCAAACTGTACTGTAATTTTTTGCTTTTCAACAGTGATGAATTTTTTAAAAACTTAAGAGGAGGAAAATATTTTATTATATTCACCCACATATTTACTGTTATCTTCTATTCCTTTCTGGAGTTCCAAATTTCCCTCTGATATCATTTCCCTTCCACCCAAAGAACTTTTGTACTTTTTTTAGAGCAGGTCAACAAATTCAATTGGTTTTCTTTCATCAAGGAATGTCTTTATTTTCATTCCTGAAGGATATTTGTACTGATAATAGAATTCTGGTTTGCCAGTTTTTTTCCTTTAACACTTTAAAAATGTTGTGCTACTGCCTTCTGGCTTTATTGGTATCTAATGAAAAATCCAGTCATTCAAAGCATTTTTTACCTTATATGTAATGTACCTTTTTATTTATTTATTTGGGGGGTTGCTTTCAACCCTTAAACTTCTTGAATCTATAAATTAATATCTTTCACCAAATTCGAGGAATTTTCCACCATTATTTCTTTAAATTATTTTTTCTGTGCCAACTCTTTCTCTACTCCATCAGGGATTCCAAAGATATAAATATTAGATATTTGACATTGTCTCACAGGTTCCTGAGGCTTTGGCCACTTTTAAATTTGTTTTCTGTGTGTAGTTCTAATTGGATCATTTCAATTGTGTTAGTTTTAAAACTGAATTCTGTGATTTCCTTGTTGGCATTCAGCCCATCCAGTGAATATTTTATTTCAGTTGTAATGTTTTTCAGTTTTACACACCTTGTATGTGTATGATTCCTATGCAATGCAAAACTGGAAATAGCATCATAAGTCATAATTTGGTATGATAAGAGTATTATTCACCTTAAAATCTAATAAGCTATTTTTGCAAACTTCTAAATTTCAAATGAGGGGAAAATGCCTTATATGCCTTCATAATAATACATTTTGTATGGTATGTATAGCCAATAACCTATCAATTTAACACTTGTTATGTGACTTGTACTTAGAGGATGTTTTGAAGATTATTGAAGATGAAGGCTTTAAAATACTGATGCAAAGGCAAATTGTATTATCGGAAGAGGAAGCACAAACACTGTGCAAGGAATATGAAAATGAGGATTATTTTGGAAACCTTATAGAAAAAATGACCAGGTAAAGTAGAGTTCAGGTTTAGAAGGCACAGTCTGATTTCATTTCGAATCATTTAGGTCTTCTTTTGACACTGCCCTGGTCAGGTTGCCACACCTCTCAGTTCTGTAAACATGTGCTGAGTCTACTTCTTTGCCAATCTCACTCCTATCTCAATTCTCTGCTCAACTGTCCATTTTCTCTTATCCTCCTGGAATGTTACTGGAGTGATGGAAAGGCCTGGGTGAAGTTACCGGAGTCCATTGAGTTAAATGCCAGAAATCCAAGGTGTGTCACATTAAATCCAAGCAGAGAACATACTGAGTCTCAAGGGCTTTGTTGATCCTGAAGATCACTAGTTCTAGGAGAAGACTGAGGTACTAGAAATCTGGCAGGTTTCTAGAAGAGTAAGTGAAGTAGCAGCTGTGACAGAAATCCAGCAAGGGTGTATGAATCAGCAGGAATCTGGGAACAAAACAGAAACGGATCTATCACAATGAAGGCTCTTCTCTTCCATTCCTTAATCTGCTTCCATCCTTTTATAAGGTGTTCAATACACTCTTGAGGGTACACCAGTGGAAATTCATCTTAGACTCTTGATAAAAGGATTATCTTGACATGTTTTTGTCTATCTAATAAATCTACTTGTATTATCTATATACAATTAGCTCCTGAGCCATACTTTTTGTCTTTTTTTCTAACAGTGGTCCATCTCTAGCCCTTGTTTTAGTAAGAGACCATGGTTTACAACACTGGAAAGAGTTAATTGGACCAGGTAGTGTTGAAAAAGCCAAAGAATATCTTCCAGAGAGGTAGGATTCATATCATAGGTCCCAAACTTTTTTCATGGGAGACATTTTAATTTATTTTTGGATATGGGTACAGGAACCACAACTCTAGTCCAAGGGAGGCTCTCAGGAAAACTTCTTTTCCTGATTATGACCAGAGGCCCAGCCCAGTGGCAGCCCGAGTAAAGCCAAGGCTTTGCAGAAGAAGGTTGTGGGATGCTTGGTGTGAGGCTGGGAAGTAAGTGGTGGAGACCCAGCCAAAAGGCCATCTCTTGGCCTTGGTAGGAATCGATTCAGGAGAAGAAAGGCCCTCCCTTCAAGTGAGCAAGAACAGAGATGCTCTATCAGATACAGCAAGCTTGACATACATGTTGGTATAATAAATAACAATACTAATGAAGCATCACATCACACAACTTTGAAATGTTTTCTTTTGGGTAGGATATCTGGAATCTGACTTGTTCTGCATGGACACATTTTACCCCTTGTTTAGCCCTACAATTACCATATAGGATAATAGGGGTTGGACAGTCTGTAAGTGGTATGAGCAGAATGCCATAAAACTTCTTAATGAAGTGTAGCGTAGAACGCAAGGCATGGCATCCGAGACAGGAATTCCTATCAACTCAAGGCTTATGCTTGTAGCCATACTGTTCTAGAAATTATGGTTTCACATGTGGAGGTAGTGAGCAGCACAGAGACATTTTCTCCAGGTGTAGGTACTCAGTGACTGCCCCTCTCTACCTCACTATTACAGTGAGGATTCCAACCAGAGTCCTTATAATCCCTATGTGGCTACAAGTTCACAGCTAATCTTGACTGTTATTTTTTATTGGTTCCCCCTTCTTCAGTTTCCTTGGTTCTACCCAGTTCTTTCTGGTTGCTTTTGAAAGAACTCAGCAGAACTCTGCCCTTCTTTGCACTTGGGTTTCAAATTCTGCCCTGCATCACTTCATCTGAAATATGGTCACTTGCATAAAGGAGAAACATAGCAACCCCTCATTCTCATCACCTACTCGCTCTATCCCATCCTCCTCCACACACACTTTACCCCCAGTAATCATCTAACAGATCCATGGAGGGGCAGCTTGCTCTATTGAGCAGAGATGCCGTGTGGTGATACCTTCACTGCGCAAATCCCCCACCTCTGGCAATCCCAGTCTCCAGGGCTCTTGGGCTACAAGGGTCTTCAAATCAGAGATGTGAGAACTGCCAAGGGTCAAGTGGGAAAGTCAAATTGGATAAGGCAAAAAGGAAATCTGAATGCATCAGCAAAAGCAACGAGGTAAGAAGGGGGTCTAAGAAGAGAAACCAAGTTACCAGTGAAGTCAGTTTATTAATAGGAAAGGACATTATTCCCTATGGCTGGATTTTGTGGTTTGGACTATGTGTAAAGGGCAGAAAATGAAATAAGCAGAGTGTGTATCCTCTACTGAAATATGTGTAGATAAAGAGAGGGGGATAAAGGGCTACTGACAAAAAATCAAGGAACAACAATTGATTCAGGAGGTAAATGTGTTCATCTATTGTAGAGGAAGCAGAACCAGGATAAACTGCCTAACCCAGGGGTGCCTGGGTAGCTCAGTTGGTTAAGCGTCTTGACTCTTGGTTTCAGCTCAAGTCCTGATCTCAGGGTCTTGGGATTGAGCCCCACATAGGGCTCTGCACTCAGCGGGGAGTCTGCTTGAGATTCTCTCTCCCTCTTCCTCTGCCCCTCCCCCTACTCACACACTCTCTAAATAAGTGAAATCTTAAAAAAAAAACAAACAAAAAACCTGCCTAACCCAACATGTCCAGTACCATCAGCCTCACTCCTGCCTCTTTACATGTAGCCGTCCTGTATGCTCCTCTCTTATCACTGTGCTTGCTCTGCTGGAGGCTCCTTTGCAGTGTCTCCTGGATTCAGTATTTATTTTGGGGTCTTTGGTATAGAGTCAAATGCCATCTCTAGGGCTTGATAATATTTAGTGATGAAGGAAGGGAAAGGAATTTTACTGAGAGCTTAATATGCACCATATATTTCAAATGTATCATCTGATTATATCCTCAAAATCTCCTTCCAAAGCAGTTTTATTATCTTATTTATATTTGACACAACTAAAGCACAGAGAAGTTAAGTAATTGACCAGCGACACATAGCTAGCAAGCAGTGCAATAAGCATTCTACAGTCTGTGCTTTTTCCCTGCACCAAGGCACCATTCCTTCTTTCAGAGTTATCTGTCAATAGTCGTATCATAATTATTTCATTGTTCATGTTCTTTCTTCCTAATGGCTGTTAAACTTCCTTGTAAGGAAGGGGTGTAATTATTGCCTTTTGCACAGTGTCTAGATCAGGAATGAGTTGTTTGATGACTTTTGGACAATTTATATAGTGTTCTATTGTGTTAGTTTATACTACATTATGTTACGCTCTAACAGTGCTTAACTTGACTTCTTTTTCAAAGTTTATGCATACGATTTGCAATGGAAGATTTGCCCATCAACCAGTTGTATGGAAGTGATTCATTAGAAGCAGCCGAGAGGGAAATACAGTATTTCTTTCCTCCTCAAAGCACTTTAGCTCTGCTTAAACCTCATGTAACACAGGAACAAAGAGGTAAATATTTAGAAATAAAAATCAATGTGTACATTTCTTTCAGATTTTGTAAAAACTTTCAAACTATGGAAAAGCTAGAGGAATAATTCAACAAACACCCACATCCCTCGATCTAGATTTAACAATGAACTCTTGTCATATTTGCTCTCTCGCCCTATTTCCCTCTTCCTTCTCTCTCTCTTATAATCAAAATGAAATTGAATTTTGTGAAGTCCTTTTCAGAATTGATGAAGATAACAATGTTTTTCTCCATAGATATATTAATAGGAAAGATCATGTTCATGATATTTCTAATATCGAGCCATTCTTCCATTCCTGGATAAACTTCACTTAGTCTTGAGGTATTTTTTAAATGTGCTTTTAGATTCTATTTGCTTATATTTTACTTGGGATTTTTCGCATTGAAACAGTGAGATTGGTCTGTCCTTTTCATTTTTTTGTGCAAGGTTTAGATAACAGTGTAATACTACTTCATAAAAAAATGTGCGTGTCTTCATTTGCAGTACTCTGAAGGAGTTTAAGCAGCAGTGGGGTTGATATTTGAAGATTTGGTAGAGTTTTCCTATGAAAACATCTGGGCCTGTTGCTCTTTTGTGGGATAATTCTTTGACCACTTTCTCTGTGCAGAAAGTCTTCTGTGGAAATTGATCTATTTAAACTTTTTACCTCCACTATAGTTAGAGTTAATTTTTGCTAAGTTGTATTTTCCTAGGAAATTATCCATTTTGTCTGTATAGAGTTCACGGTTTCTTATTATCATGTTTAATTTCCTCATTTTCAATGATTATTTCCACCCTGCCATTTCTTCATTTGTTGTCTTTCAAACAAAGAGAATTTTATTTATTTGAGGTTTTTTTTTTTATTTTTTACAATTTTATTTTTTTAGATTTTATTTATTTATTTGACAGAGAGAGACACAGTGAGAGAGGGAACAAAAGCAGGGGGAGTAGGAGAGGGAGGAGCAGGCTTCCCGCCAAGCAGGGAGCCCGATGTGGGACTCGATCCCAGGACCCTGGGACCATGACCTGAGCTGAAGGCAGACGCTTAACGACTGAGCCACCCAGGCACCCTTATTTATTTATGAGTTTTATTTTCTGTTTTCAAGCTCATTACTTTAGGTTTTCTTAAAAAAAATTTTTGCCTTTGATTCTAGTAGTTTTTTAAAATGCTCTTCTTCTAGCTTTTTAATTGGATATTTAATTCATTTATTTCCATTATTTTTGTTGATATAAATTTTTGAAGTTATATATTTTCCTTGATTATTGCTTTAATTTCTTCTGATTACCCCATAGATTTTAATGCATAGTGTTTTCATTAACATTGTTTTTTTTTTAGAAATTCTGCACTGTGCCTACAATGTTCTTTCTCTATTTGTCTGTGTGGTGATCATATCTTATTTTTTCTGTACTGAACACAAAGGTTGGCTTTTCTGGAAGTCATTTCTGACCTTCCCAGAGAGTTAATAGTTTACTTGCCTGCGGTTCCAGGAGCCTTTTACATTGCTCTTTATAATAATGACCACCTTTTCAAGCTGTGTTTCTAAGCCCAGCCCTCTGAGCAGACAAGATCTGGAAGAAGTGTTTAATGTTCCATTCACATTTGTTCCCACAGCGCCTTTCATAGGGCAGATCCTGGCTGCCCCCTTTATAGGAGGAGAAGTCCAGCCTTCTTCAGGCTATCGGTTGCACTTAAGGTCAACCTTTAGAGACCAGCACTTCTAAGTGCTTTTGATCTGGACCAAAGAAAAGACTGTTTTACCAGAAAGCTCCTAATCCCTCATTTGGTTCACTGAATGTAGCCTTTAAAGTTTAGGCTGTTGGTGAGATTTTGACAAGATTTACTTTAATTCCCTCCCTGAAGTGCCTTGCTACTTCAGGGAGAAGTGTTCAGATGGGCTCTCCCCTTCGATTACTTTCCTTAGTTATTTCAGTCTACTTGAATATGGAACAAAAGTGGAGGCACTCTACAAGATTACCAAATATGTGTTTTCTCTAGAGGAGATCTTGAAACTTATTAGAGAGGCTGGATTTGAAATAACACAGATGAAGGAAATGCTCCTAAATGAAGAAGAAGCAGAAAAAATTTATTCAAAAATAAAAGGAAAAGATTTTTATCAAGATGTATTGGAAATGTTATCTGAGTAAGTTTCTGATATATAGTTCTTTGCATTTTAAAAGTAGTAAATATTCATTATAGAAACTGAAACATACAAAATGTAATTTAAAAATTCCATTCATTAAAAGATAAAGACACCCTATTAATATTTGGGGTTCATTTCTATTTCCTTCCTACCCTACCTTCTTTTCTCCCTCCTTCCTTCATTTCTTTAGGTCTTCACATTAGGTATAGAGATGATCTGGGTTTTAATCTCTGCTTTTAAATCCCTGCTCTGTCAACATATTTAATCTGTGCCTCAGTTGCCTCATCTGTAAAATGAGATAATAACGGTATCTATCTCTTTGTTTGTTGTGAGGGTTATATAATTGATACATTAAAAATACTCAGAACAGTGCCTGGCATATATTTCTAGAATTAAACTACAGTACTCTTCTAGCACAACAATCTGTTGGAAAGGGGAGAAGTGGAAAAACAAAAAGAAAGCACAAAATCACACTGATAAGGACAAAGAATAAAGACAAAGCATGGCATTCTGTCTTTAGCTGTATATGCAATCTCTATAGGTGTAAATGCCCGGATTGTCTGAAAGCATTCTTATTTGCAGGGGTCCATCTTTGGTCATGGTTCTGACCAAGTGGAATGCTGTTTCAGACTGGAGACAATTGATGGGTCCTGTAGAACCAGATGAGGCAAAACTACTGTCCCCAGACTCTATCCGAGCCAAGTTTGGAAGAAGTGTTTTGAAAAATGCTGTCCACGGATCATCTAATACCTATGAAGCAATGGAGAGCATTACTAGAATTTTTGAAGAATTTGTTCCTGAGAATCCCGAGGAAAACTAAAGTACAGTAGCTCTTTAATTATTGTTTTCTTTTCTTTGCTTATTACTGTGACTGAGCCCAGGACAAGACTGTCCCAGAAAGACCAGAACTTTCCCCATATCCCTGAATCAGATTTTATTTCCTGCTAGACACTCTGTGCTGTTCCATAGCAGGCTTGAAGCTACATAACATATATATGGATTGAGTTTACTTAGCTGTTGAAAGAAAGTTTGGAAACTTTTCTGTCCTGGGCAATGTGGGAAACAGCCTAAGCTAGGTGGCTTTTCCCATTAAACCTACTTTCCTTCTTTTTTTCAGAGAGTAGGCTCACAAATGTATACCAGTATGGGTCTGACAGCTGCCTGGAATAAGACTGTAGTGACATGTACTGCATGGAGCACTGGGTGTTATATGCAAACATTGAATCATGGAACACTACATCAAACACTAATGATGTAATGTATGGTGACTAACATAACATAAAAAAAAAAAAAGACTGTAGAGCCTCTTCGCATGTGGAGGGTCGTCCCCACTTGGATGAGCCAAACTGAGAATCAGTATCCAGAGCATAATGAGAAAGCAGTGTTAGATGGAGAAACCCCTCCACACCCAACCAGGTTCCTAGGGGAGAGAAGTGTACATTGTTCCCTTAATATTGCCATTAGGCTGTGGTTTCCCCTGATATAAGAACATTGAATCAAAATATTAAGTCATAAAATAAAAATAAATTTGGGCACAGTGCAGCTCATTCCATAAGTCTCACTCAATTATAGACAAAGGCATGAGTGCACAACCCATAAACATTTATGTTGGGAAAATATGAATTGTGTGTCTGCTTGAACTGCAAATTCTTGGTTAATACAAAAGTGGCTGAATGGAGGTTGTTGCCTTCAGAAAAGTGTAAATCGAATGGGGAGACAAAACTCAAAGAAACAACATCTAATTATAATCACTATAAGACAGTACATTATTAAACATGCCAGTGATACATGACTAGTGGGGAGGGAGGTGAGTGGAACTACATTCTGTTTATAGCATCAGTTAGCAATATGGTGTAGAGCTTTGCTAACATCTGCATATCCCCCCCTTTTTTGATGAGGGGAGCATTATGAATAATATGGAGGATTTCAAATTAGTGTATAATTAAGTGCTGAATTGACAGGTGTATGTTTGATGGTTAGGAGCTGGAGAACGTAAGGAACAAAATCAATCTTAAAAAGTAGGGAGGATTTTCAAAATCAGAGGTAAGGAAGCAAGACAGAGAAGTCAGTTTAAAAGTTTTTAAACCATCATATACATATATGCTTGATGCTTATATATAAAGACACATTGCTGGTTTCTGTCTTACTATGTCTACTGTGCTATATCTACTATACTCTATCACATCAGAGTATTGTCGGTATTGTCGGTCTGTTTCAGACATTCAGGAATCATTTATTCAGCTCTTGCTATATGCTGAACATTGTTGCAAGACTGAATATACCCAGTCCTTGTCCTAAAACTCTAGAACTCTAAAAGCAGGAGATAGAAAATTAACACGTGCTCTAGAATTCTTAGGGGTAAGCACAGAGTGCTTTGAGCAGATGCGTATAGGAGATGGAGAAGGAAAATGATATGCAAGCTATCCAGGCTGGAGGCATTGCAATAAAATTAAAGATTACAGCAACCTTAACTAATAATAGAAACGATCAGTTAGTGATAAGTGGAATGATGAGAGGATTGTTAGAAAGCTAACTTACACCCACAGGACTCGATGACTGACAACCAAATAAGTGGGAAAAAATAAAGCTTCCTGGCTTGAGTGACTGGGGAAATGACCTAACAATTCCCAGACAAGGAACTGAGAAGGGAAAAGTAGGTTGGAAGGAAATACTATGAGTTCTGTTCTGGTCATAACTCTCGATCTGAATTGAGAGTTAAGTTCAGCTCTCAGAGCAGGGGAGTCAAGAGGGCTCCATTGGAGTGACGGAGAATGTCAGCAAAATGGTGACATAGGCAGCTCCAAGCTCACATCCTTCCAAAGGAACATTGAAAAAACAACCAGAAACTGTCAGAACTCTGGAAAATAATCAAAGGTTTACAGCAACCAAGTGTGTGCTGAGTCAAAGAAAAGGCAACTTAAAAATTATATGAAAGTTTTGTAACATTTTTACTTGCCCTACCCCTTGCCCAACATGATGACAGTCTTGAAGATCACAGCCTATTTGCAGTGTGTGACCTGTGTCTCTGGCTCCAGAGAGAGGCGGGCAGATAGTATTTACAAATTACTGTTTTTCTGTTCTATTTGGAGGCTACCTGAAGGATGACACAGACACTCATCTGTTTCACCAAACCCGGAAATTGCTCAGGGAGGAAAAGTGTTGGACATTGATTAAAAACATTGTATGGTGATCAAAAACCCCACAGCTGTCTGAGGACAAAGATTATGGTTGACATATACAGTAGACCACCTAAAGCTAGGGAGGAAAAACTGGGGAGAGAGGTTTTCTTTGGGAAATTGGGGCATTCAGAAGCAATAATGCATAGTAGGGAATTTAGAGGGCCATGCACATGCCCAGAACAAGATACATGCTCAAAGAAGATCTGACAGACCCTCATTTTTTACCATTGGCTGATAAATAGGCTTAGTACAAGCAGGAAGTGAAGGCTGAGACAGAATAGTAAATGGCCTGGCTAAGTGTTTAAAGAAGTGCTGACGACAGAGCCAATCTACCGAGACTTGGAGAAGTGGTTTGTTGTTGTTGTTTTTAAACTCCTGATTTTCAAGGAAGTCTCAGTTAAAACACTGGCTGAACACAAACGAAGTGTTTATCAACCAAGAAGAGCAAACCCTGGGGAAGAGGGAAAATCTGATTTCCAGAGTTACCACATTATAGTAGTTGAATGTCTAGTTTTCAACAACAACAACAATAAAAACAACCACAAAACATACAATGAAATAGAAAAGTATGGCCCATTCACAGGAAAAAAAGTTGACAGAAACCATCCCTGAGGAAGCCCAGACATTGGACTTACTGGATGAAGACTTTAAGTCAACTGTCTTAATATGCTCAAAGAACTGAAGGAAACCATGGATAAGAAACTAAAGGAAAACAGGAAAATAATGTATGAACAAAATGAGAATATCAACAAGGAGTGATTAAAAATAAACCAAATAGGAATTCTGGAGCTGAAAAGTGCAATAACCGAATTGAAAAATTCACTGGAGGGGGTCAAGACAAATTTGAGCAGACAGAAGAAAAAAATCAGTGAGCTAGAAGATAGGACAGTGGGAATTATCCAGTCTTAGGAGTGGAAATAAAAAAAAAGAATGAAAGTTAACAGAGCCTAAGGGATCTTTGGGACACTATCATGTAGACCAACATATGCATTATGGGAATCCCAGAAGGAAAAGAGTGAGAGAAAGGAGTAGAAATAATGGCTGAAAACTTCCCAAATATAATGATATGCCTTAATCTACACATCCAAGAAGCTCAATGAAATCCAAGCAGAATCAAAGAGCTCCACACTGAGGTATATTATAGTCAAACTGTCAAAAGCCAAAAACAAAGAATCTTAAGATTGGTAAGAAATGACTTGTTGTATACATGGAATCCTCAATAGCAGCTTATTTCTCATAAGAAGCCACAGAAGCCAGAAAGCAGTAGGATAACATATTTAAATTGTTGAGAGGGGGAAAAAAACCCTTGTCAACCAAGAATTCTATATTTGGCAAAAGTATCCTTCAAGAGTAAAGGTGGAAGTAAGACATTCCCAAGTTAACAAAAACAGAAGGAATTCATTACTAATAGACCTGTCTACAACAAATGCTAAAGGGAGTTCTTTAAACTGAAATGAAAGGACACTAGACAGTAACTCAAAGCCACATGAAGAAATAAAGCACACAGGTAACAATAACTACATAAGTAAATGTAAAAAAGCCAATATTATTGTACTTTTGGTTTCTAACTCCTCTTTCTTTCCTATAGTATATAAAAGACAATGATAAAATAATGACTATAAGCATGTGTTAATGGGCACACAGTGTACAAATATATTTTATAATATAAAAGAGAGAGAGAGAACAGGTGCAAATTGCTAAAATCAGAAGTGGGAGAAGGGACATTACTACTGAATTTACAAAAATAAAAGAGGGTTATAAGAGAATTCTATAAACAGTTGTATACCAACAAATTGGATAAACTAGGTGAAATGCAGATTCCTAGGAAGGCGCAAACTAGCAAAACTGACTCAAGAAGAAATAGAAAATGTGAATCGAACTATAACAAGTAAGGAGAACAAATCAGTAATTAAAAACTTGCCAAAAAAGAAAAGCCCAGGACTAGATGGCTTCATTAGAGAATTCTATCAAACAATTAAATAAAAATTAACTCTGATTCTCAAGCTCCACAAAAAAATTGAAAAGGAGGGAAAACTTCTTATTTCCTTCTATGAGGTCAGCATTAGCCTGACAAAAAGCCAGACAAAGAGGCTTCATGAAAAATTACACAGCAGGCGCCTGGGTGGCTCAGTTGGTTAAGCGACTGCCTTCAGCTCAGGTCATGATCCTGGAGTCCCTGGATCGAGTCCCGCATCGGGCTCCCTGCTTGGCAGGGAGCCTGCTTCTCCCTCTGACCCTCCCCCCTCTCATGTGCTGTCTCTCTCATTCTCTCTGTCTCAAATAAATAAATAAAATCTTTAAAAAAAAATTACACAGCAATATGCCTTATGAATATATCAATGCTATAATCCTCAGTAAAATACTCACACGCTGAATTCAACAGCATATTAAAAGGATTATACCCCATGATCAAGTGAGATTTATCTTAGGAATACCAGGTAGTTCAACATATGAAAATCAAGGAGTGTAATACCCACACTAATAGAATAAAGAAAAAAGATACTATCTCAATTGATACAGAAAAAGCATTAGACAAAATCCAACATCCTTTCATGATAAAAACACTTGATAAATTAGGAATATAAAGAACTTCCTCATCATGATAAAGGCCATATGTGTAAAACCCACAGCTAACATCATACTACAATGGTGAAAGGCTGAAAGCTTTTCTTCTAAGATCAGGATCTCTGCTTTTGCCACTTCTATTTAACATAGTGTTGGAAGGTCTAGCCAAAGCAATTAGGCAAGAAAAAGAAATAAAAGCATCCAAATTGGAATATTATTAGCAGGTAGCATGATTTTATATCTAATAAACCCTGAAGAAACACGCACACATACAAAAATTTGTTGGAGCTAATTCTGTAAAGGTACAGAATACAACATCAACACACAAAAATCATTCATGTTTCTATACACTAGCAATGAAAAATCCCAAAAGGAAATTAAGGAAGCAATTCAATTTACCATAGCATCAAAAATAATAAAATACTTAGGGTTAAATTTAGTCAGTGTACAAGTGCAAGAATTTTATACTGGAAGATATGAAACAATGTTGAAAGAAACTAAAGAAGACATGAATAAATGGAAAGACACCCTGTGTTCATAACTTGGAAAACAATATTGTGAAGATTACAATGCTACCCAAAGTGATCTACAGATTCATTGCAAGCCCTAAAAAAAAAAAAAAAAAAAAAAATCCCATTAGTGTTATTTACAGAGATGGAAAGACCCATCCTAAAATTCATATGAAATTTTGAAGGATTCAGAAGAACCAAGACAATCTTGAAAAACAACAAAATTTGAGCACTCCCAATTCTTGATTTCAAAGCTTACTACAAAGTGACAGTAGTCAAAACAGTGTGGGTGTTAAAGTCTAAGGACAGACCGATGGAATAGGCTTGAGAACCTATAAGTAAACCTACACATTTATGATTAGTTGATGTTCAACAAGGGTGCCAAGATCATTTAGGAAAAAGAGAATACTCTCTTTAATGACTAGTACTGGAAAGACTGACATTTACATTTAAAATAATGAAGTTGGACCATCACCTTACACTGTATACAAAAATTAATTCAAAATGGATCAAAGACCTACATTTTAGAGCTGAAACTATAAAACTCTTAGAAGAAATCATAGGGGAAAAATAAAGAATAGTTCCCCAGGAAAGCACAAAGATCTCTCAATAGAGTTCTCCAAAACCCCTCCTAAAACTATACAAAATTAGTCTTGTCTTACATTTATTTTTATTTATTTTTTTAGAGATTGGGTATAGAGCATATGTTTATTTTTTTTTCTTCAAGTTTTTATTTAAATTCCAGTTAGTTAGCACACAGTGTGATATTGGGTTCAGGAGTAGAATTTAGTGATTCATTGCTTACATACAACATCCAGTGCTCATCACCACAAGTACCCTCCTTAATGCCCATCCCTCCCAACCCCCCCCCTGCTCCTCCAGCAACTCTCGGTTTGTTCTCTATAGTTAAGAGTCTGTTTTATGGTTTGCCTTTCTCTTTTCCCCTCTATGTTCATCTGTTTTGTTTCTTAAATTCCACATATGAGTGAAATCATATGGTATTTGTTTTTCTCTGACTTATTTCGCTTAGCATAATACTTTCTAGCTCTATCTATGTCATTGCAAATGGCAAGATTTCATTCCTTTTTATGGCTGAGTAATAGTCCATTGTGTGTGTATAACACATCTTCTTTATCCATTCATCAGTCGATGGACATTTGAGCCCTTGCCATAATTTGGCTTTTTTACAACACATTTCAAAAAAAAAAATGCATGCAATTCCAACATCAAAATCCGTAAACGAAAGTAAGCTTTTACTTTAGTTTCTTGAAGAGATACTAACTAAAGGAATTTTTTCAAACCAAATATAACCAAGAAATTCCTAAAACTCCGTTGGGCACCCCTGTCCTCAGAGTCCCCCTGAGCCCTGCAGCTCCTTCCCCATTGCAAAATGGAAACTCGTAATTGCTTTAAAATTACCTTTGTAATGTATCTTATCAACTATATTCTTTCTTTTCTTAGAACTTTGAGAAGATAATGTGTGTAAGTTCACACTGGCATATGAAGATACAAACTCTGATTACTTAATATTCTTTCTATCTTTTTATCCCCACCCCTCCCCCCTCTAGCCTCTCCATCATGTTCCATAAAGAGCTGCACGCTCAGTCCTGTTGTCTTTCTCAGTTCCTTCCAATTCTATTCCCCACCTTTGGCTTGACTAGCAATTCTGAATCCTGGAGAGGATTGAGTAGAAAGCTGTGGTTACTTACAGTTAATATTTTTAACCCCGTCAAAAGAATTTGTTCATTAACTCACTGGGTTGTAAATCCTTGCTGGTTGCTTACTTGCTGAATCAGGCAGTATTATCTGTAAAGAAAAGAGACCCATCTCTGGAGCTTGGTGATTCTAGCACATGTTGGGGATTTGTGTGCAAAATGGAAACTCGTAACTGCTTTAAAATTAGCTTTGTAATGTATCTTATCAACTATATTCTTTCTTTTCTTAGAACTTTGAGAAGATAATGTGTGTAAGTTCCCACGGGCATATAACCATGTGGCACAGCTTCCTGGGAGGAATAAAAAGGAAGATATTCTTTGGAGGAAAATCCGGTGTTACCTCAAGTTAAAAACTAACCTCCAAGTGAAAAACATGTGGTTATGCATAATAACAATAAAAAATATGACCTTCAAACAAATCTTAATGTTTATCTTTACCCTATCTTACAGAGAGGATTTAGGGTGGCTTATATAAATGCACACAAGATTGAATAAAATAGTTGGGGAGGAACATGGAATATGGGGAAGAAGAGTGTAAGATGGAGCGGGAAGCCAGGATTGGAGTTATATACAAAATGCATAGAAGGCCCTAACGTATATTTAGATGTTGGCCAAAAATTTGACTCTAAGCATTTCAGCAATAAACTCTGAAAAGGTGTCGTGCTGATTTACAGAATTTGCAATCTAACTACAGGACAAGTGCAGGCCATGTACCTCCTTTCTTGACACTAAGACAATGCAAATCTCTCCAGGGATGAAGTTGATAATAAAGTTCCCACTCATTTTGGCATTTTCCCCTCTCAGGATGTAATCTGATGATGTTTACTACAGCGATGTACTTGAGCTTTTAGCCAGAGTTATATGTAATTCCCAGCATGTTGGCTATGACACCTTCCTTTTCGTTCCATGCAAGAGAACATACTGGGATGCACGTGAGTGAGTCAAAGGATGACTTTCCATCCTAATTTTTAAACTCTAATGTTAATGAAGATACAAACTCTGATTACTTAGTATTCTTTTTATCTTATTGTGATATGAACACTGAACACTGAGCTTTATCCTCTTAACAATTTTTAAGGGTACAATGCTTTATTGTAGGTACAGTGTTGTATAGCAGATCTCTAGAGCATATTCATCTTACTTAACTGAAACTTTATGTCTATTGATGAATACTCCCCACTTCCGCCTCTCCTCAGCCCCTGGTGACCACCATCCCTGTCTTTGACTTTATGAATATGACTATTTTAGATACCTCATAAAAGTTTTTGTTGCCTGTGTCGTGAATGTCATATCTATGAAATCACTGCCAAGACCAATGTCCTGAAGCTTTTCCCGTTTTTTTTGTTTTGTTTTGCTTGTGTCTTATGTTGAAGCCTTTGTTTTAGAGGAGGCTGGACCTGACAGGATGTGGCCCACAGGTACCCTCGCTGGTGCCTCGGCCTGTTGTCCCCACAGTGTAGACATGGGGCTGGGGACCTGGGCTCCCTGGATGCTGAGTGTCACATGGCATGTGCTGTGTAGTTAGCTTCCTGACACCTTGTCTCAGGTACCCATGCCCTCTAGGCCTGTGTGGCCAGGGCTCCCCCACCCCGTGACCTGAGCGTCTGCCTGGGGCAAGTGCTTTCCCCCACCATACCCTTGATGTAGAGGCTGGGTAGATTGTTAGAGCCAAACCCCATGTAGCCCTGCTGCTTTTACCAGATGCTTCTCTCCAGACCTGGATTTTCTCATCTGCTCTCTCTGCACTGGGAAGAAGGGGAAGTCATGGTTTCTGCCATCTCAAGTGGCCATCTCTGTACTCCCCTGGTTGCTAGGCTATGGTCGATCCATCCAAGCTCCGAGACCCAGGTTCTTCCTCTGGGATCCCTCTCAGGAGGGTTGGGGCACTGGACATGCAAACCAATGCCTGGAGAGAAGCCAAGCATTAGAGGGATTCTTTCTGATTATATGCTGCTTTGCTGGGGTGGGGACTCGGGTCACAGGGTGTCCCAAATCTCCCTACTCGCTTCACTGAGTCTGGCTTTGTGGTCACCTAGAGTGGAGGAGCTTTTCACTTAGTTTCTGGATTTCTTGCAAGGGAGATTTGTTCATGAACTCTTGTTGAGTTGGTGAGTTTGCCGAGGGAGGGATGGCCCAGGGCTTCCTATTCACCATCTTGCTGACATTACCTTTTGATTATTTAGTATTAGTAAAACATTGCTCACCTCAAAGCTCTAGTGTTCCAACATTATGTTTGAGAAGCACATATAAATTATTAGTAGGGATATTTCTCAATTTTTTTCAGAATGCATTAAAAAAAACTAGGGTAAATCAACTACTGTAATTACTGGCTTTTTTTTTTTTTTTTTTGATTGTGCAGAAGACTAAATATAGTAAAAATCTTCACCTTACTTTCTTCATATTCCCTGCTCCTTCAGATCGAATACTATCATCTGCCACTTTATATGCCTGATGATATTTGGGTATTCATAATAGAATTATGTTTAATGGCACACTGTTATATCCAGTAGCACACTGGACCACTCAGGAATGGTGCAGAACTTCAAAAAGCATTCAAACAAACTCTCTTAAAATTAATAACATATTTCACCAGCAGATGGCATGTTTCACTCAGTTGTCCATATATGTGTACCTATCTGTATCAAGATTTTGTAAGTAAGACATAGGGAAAGGCTATTTCCTTAGGATTATACAATTAATTTTGAGCTAAAGAGTCAGAGATCTGATAATCAATGTCCAAAGAGATATATTCAATTAAACCTTAATTTGTGTTGGTGTTAGTCTTGAGGTTGAAGTTAGTGGTTGGAACGCAGAGGCACGAGGCAGGCACATGGGAGCTGGGGTTGGCAGGACCAGCTAATATCGTCTTGCCCCGGGGGAAGAAAGGTTAAAGAAGAGGCTAGCACATTGTCAGGGTCCAGCTAAGTGGGCTGATCTTGAATCTCAGCTGTCTTGAGCCACTGTGGCTGAAGCAATTGAGGACTACAAAATAGGATTATGAATTCCACTACATAAAACAACCCCTTTCCTCTAGGGCTGGCTTACTCGTGCACCGTGACCCTGCAGCCACAGTTTTCTTGATCTCCCCACTTAGTCCCCGGAGCCACCTTCCAAAACAGAAGACCTGAAGCATTCTTGGCTGGAGCCTAATACTTTCCAGCATCCCCTCCCTGGATCCTATTCTCTGTAAATAGATGCCCTGCAGAAAATGGACAGATTACCTAAAATATGCTCTGCCCTATTCTGTGGCCCTCTTCCCAGACTCTCTTGTTGCTCTTTCTGCTCACTGGAGTAGATGCCCAGATACTGATTCCTGCTTGAATTGTGTTTGAACTTGCTCATCCCTTGGAAACTACTTTGGATGACCTCCAAAGTCCATTTTTTAATGGTTTTAATAAAGGGGAGAAGTTGACTAAGCAATTGTCCATGTGATTTTCAGCTGCTGAAATAATCCAATGACATAATAAATAATGAAATAATAATAAATAATAAATAATAAATAATTTGACATTATTAGAAAACTAAAAATGTTGGGGCGCCTGGGTGGCTCAGTCGTTAAGTGTCTGCCTTCGGCTCAGGCCATGATCCCAGGGTACTGGGATCGAGCTCCACATTGGGCCCCCTGCTCAGCGGGAAGCCTGCTTCTCCCTCTCCCACTCCTCCTGCTTGTGTTCCCTCTCTCGCTGTGTCTCTCTCTGTCAAATAAATAAAAATCTTAAAAAAAAAAATTGAAAGAGCCAAGATGTCCATCGACAGATGAATGGATAAAGAAGAGGTGGTATATATATACAGTGGAATATTATGCAGCCATCAAAAGGAATGAGATCTTGCCATTTGCAACGACGTGGATGGAACTGGAGGGTATTATGTTGAGTGAAATAAGTCAAACAGAGAAAGACATGTATCATATGATCTCACTGATATGAGGAATTCTTAATTGTAGGAAACAAACTGAGGGTTGCTGGAGTGGGGGGTGGGGTGGGAGGGATGGGGTGACTGAGTGATAGACACTGGGGAGGGTATGTGCTCTGGTAAGCACTGTGAATTGTGCAAGACTGTTGAATCTCAGATCTGTACCTCTGAAACAAATAATGCAATATATGTTAAGAAAAAAAAGAAGAAGAAGAAGAAGGTAGCGGGAGGGGAAGAATGAAGCAGGGCAAATCGGAGGGGTAGACGAACCATGAGAGAGGAAGGACTCTGAAAAACAAACTGAGGGTTCTAGAGGGGAGGGGGGTGGGAGGATGGGTTAGCCTGGTGGTGGGTATTGAGGAGGGCACATTCTGCATGGAGCACTGGGTGTTATGCACAAACAATGAATCATGGAACACTTCATCTAAAACTAATGATGTAATGTATGGGGATTAACATAAGAATAAAAAAAATAAATAAATAAAAAGAAAAAAATTAAGAAAAAAAGAAAACTAAAAATGTTAATGAATTTTAAAAATGCATCAGTTTGATTCAACAACGGCATTTTAGATATCCCTCAATACATGATGGAATTTTATTCATAATACCATTTTTTGCTTCATCCCAGTTCTTTACACCTCATCATGTTATTCATGTTATTCCAACTTTGTGACATTTGGAGTCAGCCCTCTGGTTATGAGTCTTCCCTAAATTTAATTGCTAATAAAGTATGCTCTTTTTCCCTTTCAATGTACATCACTACTGTGATCCAAATTTGGTTCTCATCTAGATAGATATTGCAGCTACATATTTTAGGACTATCCAGTCATAAAACTGATCTCATACAAATATTGAGCTAGATATGCCTATGCTTATACATTTATGCTTAACACTGTGTGGACCTGTAAAGGCAAAATCACACATCCTGGACTTGATTCCTGCCATGAATGGCCTCATTAATTACCTCATCGTTGCCATTCCTTACTCTCTAGTACAAAGAGACCTCTCTCCGCTAGAAGGGTAAATACCGTAAGACTGTAGTTGTGATTGGCACATTTTCCCTTCAATAAATTTGAAATAGAGAAGACATAACGACATGAAGATGTAAAAGTTTTGGGGTTTTACAGATTCAAATAGTTTAGAGATGACAATTACAGAAGTTGACAGAGACGTCTGTTGCTTGACGCCAACCACAGGGACCATGACTAACCAGGTCTCCAGACACCACAGTCAGAAACACATTGCGAGCCTTGTGCCAAGACCAGGCTGCCATGGGCTGGTCTGCATCCATGACTGAGTCGGGCAGGCCGCGAACACAGAGCCGGGCCCGGGAAATGAGGGACTCCTTGATGTCCGGCTTCCCGCAGCCTTGCCCAATTCTCCTTAAGACGTGAAGGACGTCTGAAGCGCTTCCCGCCAACTTCTTTCCCTCACACTGTCCACCCTGCCGGCTCTGTTTATCCCCCCTCCATTCTCTCTCACTGGCATTTCCTCCAATGGAATCCTTCCACGGTTAACTCCATTTTGTGCTTATCAGTTAAAAGCCACAAAGTTGACAATGAACTAAAATTTTTGGTTGGCATGTCTGTCCCATGACATATCTTTCAGGGTAAAATACTTTTCAAAAAAATATTTTCCTGTCAGGAACTATGATCAGGATTGGCATATATCATTCTGTAACCAAAAGCACTAATTTGTTCTCTTATTGCTTTTCCCGTGGTGATAACATGAGGCTTCCCTCTAATAGCCTGGCTTTATGTTCCTGACAAACCAGAGCCCTTTGGTCTGTTAAAGTGAAATTGAGTAAGTTTGGGAGCCCAGATCTTTCTCTGACCACACGTGAGGCATCAGACAAGCGCTGGTGTAGCCTTTCTCCTGCAGGCTAGAGTGTGGCTTCTAAGGTTCCATTCAACTTTTGATTCCACAATTCCAAGTAACCATTTTTGCTTTTAGAATCAGTGATAACAGCAGGTAGAGACT